CGTTAACAGAATCGAGTGCGCCAAAGGACCACACCGAATTGCCCCCCACCCCACCTGTCGGTACTGGTGTGATGCTAATTAGTTGCACGCAATACTAGCTAGCTAAAAGCTAAAAACAAACACGTGTAGCTCAACTGTCTCTTAGTTCCACAGTCCATGGAGCAAGAACAGAGTCAGGTGATGAAAGACAGAGCATCAGAGAAATGAATCATTCCTGCAGGAACAGAAGAAGCTGAAACACCACGAGCTTCAGGGTCAGCTGAAGACACCTTCTTACAACTTCTGGAAGTTATAGCTCATTTAAAAGAAACATATTTTTTGTTGTACGTTACATTTCTGCTCATCAGATGTTAAGCTTCATTTTATTTGGTTATTTTGGGAAACTTCACCTGCACTTTAGTTTTTGTGGTGGATTTATTGATCTATATTTTGTGCAGACGTTTTCAATCTAAATAACAGAAGGATCATTTTTATACTTGGAGACTGAATACTTTACTAAATAAAGTAATAATTTCAGTAAAATTACACCTTGTTTTTAAAATTTTATATAATTTTTTTTTTTTTTTTTTTTCATTTAGCCTTTATTTATCCAGGTTAGTCTCATTGAGCCACGATAACTCATTTGCATAATACTGCAAAGCAACATGTTAATTTAATTTAGTCAAATTAATAACTATGATTTCTGTTTTTTTTTTTTTTTTTTTTTTGTTATATTGCTAAATTTATCATTATCATCAGAATGCTCTGAAATATCACGATATTATATTTGAGCCATATCGCCCACCCCTAATGGCTATAATGACAAATTCAAAAAAAGTTCAAGACAAAAGCAACTGGACTTTATTTATTATACTTTTATACTTCTTTTTTTTCTTGAACTGTTTTGTATTTACCATGTCCTGGGTGACTGAGAATCTTCACCAGATATTGATACAATCAGCTCGACATGTTCCCCCCACCTTTGTTCTGCAGTTACACCAGCTGCACCGCCCCGGCGAAATACAACTCATTTGACCATTAAAGTGCGTTTTCTTAAACAAATGTTAGACTGAGACACACATTTATGGTTTATAATATATAATCCAGGTGAAGTGTCTCGTCTGGCCTCTTCAACCTGGTAAAAAGACGAATTACATTAAGTTGTACAACTTGTCTGTATAAGTTTTAGTTTAATATGAGATGAAAACAAATTACCTTGAGCTGCAGCTGGTAGCATCAGCTTCTCCCACGTTATTATTTGTTTCATGATGGAGTTGTGGAGCTCTTTTATTGCTAAAAAAAAAAGTGAATTAATAATGTACGTTGGGTCCAGCTTATAAAAATAAACCTAAACCCTTCCACTGAGCTGTCTGCTCATAAATCCTTTGTGATGCAGCAGGAGATGGAGAGGGAAATCTTTGCAGCCTTTGGGGAATCTGCTGGAAGTTTGTTGCAGAGTTCGCTGGTCGGCTGCTTCGCTTTCATCTTTCACGCATTTTGTCGTATTTCCAAAATACTGTACCGCAATTTTATTTTACACTTCTTGCAAACAGCTGTGCTCTTGTTAAGCTCTGTCTTTCCCGGAACATTGTAGGATCTGAAATGATTTTTAAAGACAAAGAGACGGGTTGAATCGTGCCGTCTCCCTCCTCCATGCTAGCTGGCTCCATTCAGATAAAGGGAGCTGGTGAACTAGCTGCTGTACGGTGGCCTACACGGCCCGGTTCTACAGCGGCCGAGCGGACCCATAATGCGATATGCAGTACGCTCGGGAGTAGGAGCAGAAAAAAATAAGACTTAAACATATTTTAAAATCAATTTATGGGCCTTTAGAATTGATTTACATGTTTCTTCAATGTCACATGGAAGATGGGCTCAATGTCTCAGAAATAGCAGACTGTGGTGGTGGTTCCCATTTTTACCAAGTGGTGCCGAAGAGTGTTCTAACAATCGAGGGTTCAACCTATCTGAGGCTGGGTCACTGAGGAAACGGGTCCCAGATATAGAGAAACCCAGATTTCCCCTGTTCTGTTTGGTTATGGCTTGTTTCTTTCTGAATGTCTTTTATTATCTATTATCTATTATCTATCTATTATCCCTTTAATTATTATCTTAAGGGGATGGAGATGTTTGTGAAGCCATGGTGTCGCACCAGTCTGAAGATGCGATCCACTAGATCTCAGGGTATTAGATTGTGGAATGATCTGGAGGATGATATTAAAAATGCCAAAACTATGTACATATTCAAGAGGATGATAAAAATTTGTTTTTTAAAAAAATATTAAGTATAATGTGAGTTCATAAAAATTGTTTACAGTTGATCTTATATTTTAGCTAAGTTTTTTTTAATTATTTTTTACTTTTTAATTTTTTTATAAATTCATTTTGCTTTTGTATAGTAATTTTGTTTGGAATATATTTTGGGGACAAGGGGCAGATATTATAAGAATTCATTCTTCTTCTGCTGCCTTTCATTTTATTTCGGTGATTGTATATCTTTTTTCTTTTCTTTAAATTGTATTATATTTGTTGTTTGGATGAAATGAAATGAATAAATAAAACATACATACATACAATGTCAGGGTTTCTGTTAGAGGTGTAACGGTACGCTAAAATCACATTTCGGTTCAGTTTCAAGGAGGGCTCGGTTCGGTTAATTTTCAGTACAAAAAAGGCCTAAATGAAGACTTACAAAACGTTTATTTTGAAAATATGCCAAGTAAACAATACGTTTGTTTAAAAAATAAATAAAAGCGACCCATTTGAATGATATTTTAAATGGCACTCCTTACAATAAATAAACTATACTAACAATAATGAAAATCTTAATAAATACAATAACAGTCAGAACCAGAACAATAAGCAGCAACAGTTTACAATGTAACTAGTCAAGTTTTAAGTTTTTGGCCAAAAAGTCCAACTTGTCCACATTTTCTGTCAAAAGCTCAGATCTAGTTGCAGTGACATCATCTCCAGCGGTGGAGGAAACCTCTCACTAACAACAGCAGCAGGAATAAAGAGGCAGAGCTTTGATCATGTTGCAGTGTGGCTGGATTTGGCCTCATCACAACCTCTTGGACCTGCTCCCACAGGTGGAACAGGTCCCTGGAAGAGTTCAGAGTTCAATCATCATAGATTCTTATCTGGAGGTGATCTCTGGTGGGTTTCCCTGGAAATGAAACACAAATATGTAAAAAAATAAAAGAGTTAATAAGATAAATGTTTAAATTAAAAAAGTGAATTAGATGATAATAATAAAAGAACAATACCTCTTCTTGAACGGTTGTTATGAGCTGGTTGAATCTCTCGCTCATCAGCATCATCATCATCATCAGAGCTTTAATCTGGTCCAGGGCTTGTTGACGATCAGTTTTAGCTTTTTCATAAAGTGCTGATACAACTTTTTTGCTGAAGTGTTGATGTGATGGGATGTCGTAGCGAAGATCAATAACTTTAAAGTCGGCGCATCAACAATATTTGGACGTAGATCCAGAGCTTTAAAACCTCCTACAGCTCGTGTTGTTGCTCTGGACCGATCTGAATGACCTGATGAAGGTTGTTTAAATGCTGCTGTTATCGGTGTTTGCAACAAGCTGCATTTCTTGCTTGTAGAAGAGACGTTCACGTTCGGACGATGTCGTTTCAAGAGCGTTAACAAGTTGGACGTGTTGCTGCTGCAGATCCAGTCTCCATGAAACAACATCGACTCACAGCTTTGGATTTGTTCACTTGTCTTTTAACAAGAAAGATAATGTTCCCCAACAGGAGACCACAACGACATGCTAAGCTGCTAATGCTAGCATGCTGCAAGATAATAGCGTCGTGCTGAAACACGCTTAGGAACTTTAGTTCTGCGGCGCATAATCTCTTGTTAATAAAATGTAATGAGTGAAAAAATAACCGAAACGGTACGCACGTGGACCGAACCGAACGTGCCGAACCGAACGTGCTGTACCGGAACGGTTCAATAAACCCACATGTACCGTTACACCCCTAGTTCCTATGCTGTTGAATTCACCGTGGCTGTTCCGACACTAGTGGACGCACCGCTCTGTGCTGCGTGCAGTTTTTGGTTATTTTTTTCTCTCCCGACATGGACGGAGCCTTGCTGTTGAGCTTTTCTGGTTACTGTTGTGTGTAAAACTAGAAGAAACGGCAAATAAATCACCCTAAGCTGGACATCTGTCTCTGTGTTCTTTAATGGGAAAACTTCATACCATGCAGCTCTAAACCAGTTAATTTCCTGGAGAACACTGAACCTCTCATTTAGCAGCTACAAAGTCATTTTCAAACCTCTCATGAACTTAACAGTGGCTCCACTGGGAGTCAACAAAGACCATATCTGCAGATTCAACTAGCTTAGCTCAACTTTACAACTCGAACACAGTGTTCAGAGTCAGAGCTGCAGCACGCACTTTCACTCCAGAGGTGAGGGGCTGGCTTTGTATTCAGTGAGGGAGAGAGGGGGGCGGCATGAAGGCGCAGTTTGGAAGGAAAAACTGGTGGAATTTTAAGAATAATTATAACTGTGTAGAATATGAGAGTATATCATTTTATATCAGTCTCACTTTATGTTGCGTATGAAATTATCTCTATTTTTTAAATATTGAGATATCGCCCAGCTCTAATTTCTTTCAACAAGTTTCGTCTTGTGCTTCATGAGACATTTTGCTAATAGACGGGTGTAAGCACACATTGGCTGTCTGCATCCACCTCTCTGTAGCAGGTAACTTTGGGTTCCCCTTTGCTGCTCCAGACTACCTGAACCACCATCATCTGACACTTGTGGCTTAGCCCCTTTGAACTGATGAGGGCTAGAAACTTTAGAAGTTGGTTTATGGTCCGGTTCAAGACCCCCTGGGGTCTGGTTGTGACTTTTTAGTTTACCTTTTTCAATCCTGACTTTTGTACTTTGCCTTCCTTTCCGGTTCCTGGTTCCACAGACGTGTAATGGTTTTCCTAGTGTTCAGTAATCAGGTGAAGTCTAGAAAGTTCATCTGTAATGTCTTGTGTTTTCACAGGAACAGGAAGGTGGTGAACTATTCACAATTCAACGAGTCTGACGATGCAGGTGAGTAAACGTGTTTCCATTTCCTTCTTATCATTTAAAAATCGTACAGAGATTTTCTTCATTCATACAGCTCTATACTAGATCTACAAAGATAATTGAATAAATCATTCTAAAGAGACTAATCAGAGCTTTAGATCACATTCATACACTGATGGGACACACATTGGAGGCAATGAGGTGTTCAATGTCTTGCCCCGAGACACTTCAGCATGTGACTGATGGTGGATTCAAACCCCCAACTCTGGGCAGCACGGTGGCGCAACTGGTAGAGCTGCTGCCTCTCAGTGAGCAGGTCCCTGGCTCAAATCCCGGTCCGGGGGCCTTTCTGGGTGGAGTTTGCATGTTCTCTCCGTGCATGTGTGGGTTTTAATATTTTTAATTATTTTATAATTTCTATGTTCAGTTGTTTCAGTGTCATTGATGAAGAAGAACATTTGTGCTCCGTGTTGTAGAGCTGAAGCTGAGACATCCTGTCATGTCCTGCTGCACTTCTCTACAATTTAAATTTAAATACTGTAACACTGACTTATTTAAAATATTACTGTATTTAAATTATTTATTTAAGGAGGGAGATTGGGAGTAACAGGCGATGAGTGAGTGTGATTGCAGCCTGGCACATGTCAAGACAAAGTTTACTGAACTTGAACTACGGCTGGGCCATATAATAATAATAATAATAATAATAATAATGTCATCACAATGTCAGCACTGTATGTTTCCATACAATGGCGAAATTAGTCTCTGCATTTAACCCATCCACCACCAGGTGGTGCAGTGGGCAGCTATTGAAAGCGCCCGGGAGGCATTTTGGGGATAAGGTGTGCTGCCCAAAGACACCACGTGATGTGCAGTGACTGGGGATCGAACCTGGGACTTTTGGGTCCCAAGCCGGCTGCCCTGCCTCTACACCATCTCGGCCCCCATATCATATCGTTCACGATAATACCACCTGGGAAAATAAATTATATCATGATATGCTAATTTCATGACGTAAGTACGTCAGTGTTTGCCCCGCCCCGTTAACAAAACTGAGCACGCTGAACTACCGAACCGAACTGCACACCCCCAACCTGTCAGTACTGGTGTAACCCTAATTAGCTGTGCACAATACTAGCTAGCTCAAATGCGAAAAGCAAACAACGCTCAGCTCTGCTGCGTTTCTCCATCCAGCTCTAAACTGCTGGTACAGATCTAAAAAAGTTAAATCTGGTCCTCTGGACTTTCAAAAAAAAAAAAAAAAACAAAGCAAAACAACAAAAAAATGTAGAAACGTTTCGTCTCTCATCCGAGAGACTTCCTCAGTCTGAGGTGCTGGTACAGACATCCATCCATTATCTTTACCCGCTTATTCCATTTTGGGTCACAGGGGTCGCTGGTGCCCATGTCCAGCAATCACTGTGTGAGGGGCGGGGGACACCCTGGACGGGTCGCAAGTCCATCACAGGGACACATAGAGACAAACGAGACAAACAACCATTCACTCTCTCACTCACACCTAGGGACAATTTAGAGTTACCAATCAGCCTAACATGCATGTTTTTGGACTGTGGGAGGAAACCGGAGTACACGGAGAAAACCCACGCATGCACGGAGAGAACATGCAAACTCCACCCAGAAAGGCCCCTGGACCGGGATTTGAACCAGGGACCTGCTCACTGAGAGGCAGCAGCTCTACCAGTTGTGCCACCATACTGCCCCATGTACAGACAGTGGCAGCTCAACTGTCTCTCTCTTCCCCCGTCCAGCGCAGCTTGTTTTTTTTCTCTCCCCCTGGCCCCCACCTATGACTGGCCATACTGGAGAAAAGAAGGACGTACAGACCCGCGCGCATGACCGAACGAGCCGCTCTGTGCTGCCGGTGCAGGCGCAGCACAGGGTCCCCCCCGCTCTACACACGTGCAGCTCAACTGTCTCTTAGTTCCACAGTCCATGGAGCAAGAACAGAGTCAGGTGATGAAAGACAGAGCATCAGAGAAATGAATCATTCCTGCAGGAACAGAAGAAGCTGAAACACCACGAGCTTCAGGGTCAGATGAAGACACCTTGTTACAACTTCTGGAAGTTGTAGCTCATTTAAAAGAAACATATTTTTTGTTGTACGTTACATTTCTGCTCATCAGATGTTAAGCTTCATTTTATTTGGTTATTTTGGGAAACTTCACCTGCACTTTAGTTTTTGTGGTGGATTTATTGATCTATATTTTGTGCAGACGTTTTCAATCTAAATAACAGAAGGATCATTTTTATTTTTATACTTGGAGACTGAATACTGAATTTATTTGCTAAATAAAGTAATTTCAGTAAAATTGACCCTTGTTGTTTTTTAGTTTTTATATAATACTGCAAAGCAACATGTTAAGTTAATTTTGTCAAATAAATAACTATAATTTCTGTTTGTTTATTTTTTGTTGTTGTTGTAGTTATATCACAAAATTTATCGTTATTGCCAGAATGCTCTGAAATATCACAATATTATATTTGAGCCATATCGCCCACCCCTAACTTGAACTGAACTTGGACTTGTACTACTGTATCCCTACTTTGTGGTTTTTCACTTATCACGGGTGGGCATGGTCCCTAACACCAGTGATAAACGAGGGACTACTGAAGTTGTTGTTCAGCCTGTATGTGTGCAGCCAACTTCACGCAGCCTCCTCCTCCCTCTTTGATACAAGCAGCCCTCACTGCTGCAGTTCACACACACTTTAACATAGTGAAGGAGGTGCAGCTGGGGAGGATTATTATTTAATATATGTAAAAAAAAAGGGGGGGGGGGTCTAAAAACAAACTTTTTAATATGTAAATACACTGCTTGGCCAAAAAATCAGAAGTTGCCACCAAAAAAAAAAAGGTCATACACTAATATTTTGTTGGACCTCCTTTAGTTTTGATTACATCATGCATTCTCTGTGTCATTGTTTCTAGAAGCTTCTTCAATGTCACAAGATCTGTTTAATTCAGTGTTGCATTAATTTTTCACCAAGATCTTTCATTGATGACTAGACACTATGATGGTGCATCACTTCACCTGCCTCTCTTCTGACCCTGATGCACCATCACTCTGGAACAGGGTCAGTCTGGACTCATCAGATCACATGACCTTCTTCCATTGCTCCAGAGTCCAATCTTTATGCTCCCTAGCAAACTGAAGCCTTTTTGTCCAGTTAGTTTCACTGGTTAGTGGTTTTCTTAAGGCTACACAGCTGTTCAGTCCCAGTCCCTTGAGTTCCTTCACATTGTCATTCTTGTCATTCCTTTAGCTTGTATCTTGGTGTATACGTATATTGGATCCTTATATAACCAAACGTTTTGTTTTGTATAATTTGTGTGTAAACTAAATCTGGGATGGAGAGACTGGGCATGCAACAACTGTTGCCCAGTCTCCATCAGGCTGAGCGATATGGGAGAGTGGCAAAGAGAGAGACTCTAGAAGAAAACTCTGAAAGTTCTGTTTATTTCTATACTTCATATTTTTGTTATTTTGGGGTGTAACTGGGACCCTGAGTCCATAATTTTGTTCCACCTCATGCACCACGTGATGTGAATGACAATAAAATGGACTTGAACTTGACTTTAATAAATCATATTTTCTCCACCCCAGTATTAAACTGCAGTGAGGACATGTGTAGATTACATTTACCACAATATCTGCACGTTGTTGGTTCTGTTCTTCAGTTCAATCGGCTGATTTGATTTGGTTTTGTACGTTAAGTAAAAATGTTCCGCCTCGCTGCAGGAGGTTGCAGCCCTCTGCTGGACCGTCTGTGGTTTGTTCCATTACAAGAAAAAGGAATTCAACTTTTTGCGTGTTAACCAGCCGATTGCTCATATTTACAGATCGGTGACTGTAGTTTCCAGTGTCTGAATTTAATGTCCCCACTGGACGTTTTTAACCCTTTCATATTGGGGCCAGTCTTGACTTTATAAATAAAGTGGATACGAACATCCTGACATAATGGTTGGTTTTGTATCAGGGTTTAATTTGTTGTCTAAGAGCTGCTAATGTATATATCTGATGTGCACCCGTGTTTTTTGTAAACGTGCACAGATCTGGACTGATCCTCTCTTCCTCTCTGCAGACGAGGAGTACAATGACAATAAGCCGAAGAAGGTGCGCCCAGCCCCTCGTGAGCCCAAGCACAAGCGCTCAAAGAACTCACAGGATGACAGGTTGGTGTTTGGTTCACAGAGCTCAAGGGTCTTCCTTCACTTGTCACATCTGGGTTCATCTTACAGCTGTAGCCTGTAGAGTAATCAGCCTACTCACGTTTCAGTCACAACCTTTGTTAATGTGAGCTGAAACAAAACTTCACTCTGTTCAAAGACTACTTACAATTAAACAATATAATGTCTAAATAACAAAACCCCTTTTTATTTGATTTAACAAGGTTGAGTCAGGTCCTCTGGATGGATTTTTCTTTGTTGAAACGTTTCGTCTTTCATCCAAAAGACTTCTGCAGTGTGAGACGCTGCAACAAACTCGAGTCTTATTACCATATTTTTCTCTGTACACGTCGCATCAGTCCAAATACAGTGCGTCTAAAAAAGTGGAAAAATCCATAAATCTGTCGCTTCACCGTATACTTTGCATCTACTATGCGTCTCCGCTGACGACCCGGAAATGTGGGCCGGTGTTGTGCCAAAAGTCATGGGCTGCCAACAGGCGGCCGCGGGAGCGTGCACAGGAGGACTTTAACAAGATTAACACCTAAAAACAATTATTTGTTTGCTCGAAATTATATTAAATGTGTGTCTCAGTCAAACGTTTGCTTAATAAATAAATAAACTTCTTGGTCTGCTGCCTTCATACATCTCCTCCTACATGTCTCTGCGTGAGTGCAGCTACAGCGTGCGCTCTCAGGACATCATTACCTGCAGTGTTCCCTCAGTGAGGACTGAACTAGACAAAAGGACCTTCTCCTACTCCGCTCCTGTTTCCTGGAATATCTTGTAAAAACATCTGAAGCTCTCGACCTTTGACCTCTCTACGTGGCTTCAACATCTGTGAAGTTCATGGGACAAACCAATGCAGACATGTTCCTGTTTTTATTTTCTACATTGTTTTACAACCTAGCTGTTTTGTTGTTGTTTCTTTTAAATACCATTTTATTTTCACTTGTTAAAATAATTCTCAGTTTGCACGCATCCTCTTTGATTGTCTGTTGTTGTCTTTGTCCACTGTTGTCATCAGTCTTTGTTTAAATCAGGTGTCTCCTGTAAATGAGTCCCCGAGGCTCAGTGGGACTAACCTGTCTGAATGAAGGTTGAATGAACCTGCTGTACCAGAGTCATCACACCTGATGGTGTGTTCTGTTTTCTCTTCCAGTGAGGACTCTGATGAGAAGCTCTCCAAAGCTAAACGTGACTCTGCAGGTAAGCTGGTCTGTTTCATGACTCGTCAGTTTGTCCCTGCCGGACACCAGGAGCCGGCTCTCTGACTTCCCTCGGTGTTTTGCTGCAGATGATTTTGGCAGCGATGAGGAAGACAATGACTTTGGAGAGGAGGAGGAGGAAGAAGGAGGAAGTGACTATGAAGAAGAAAAGGGGAAGAAGGGAAAAAAAGCCAAGGTGGAAAAGCCCAGCAAGAGGGGCCCAAAAAGAAAACGGGCTGCAGGTAAGGCCCCATTCTGTTTGTGCATGTTGAAACAGAACAAAGGACGTGTCATCTTTAAGCACAGCAGAGGGCTGCTTGCTTTTATCCATTTGTTGATGACTGGACGTATTTTTACACATTTCTTCACAACTAAGGCCCTAAAATGTGTCTATTTGGCTACAAATATTTCATTTATTTCAAACTACATATTTTCTGTTTGTTTTTCTAAGCTCCATGTTTTTGCAGTATAAATGATTAGAAACGTGAGTATTTGCACGTGCAGCAGCAACATGACAGCTACAAGAATCAACAAGCGAACAAAACATCAGAAGGTGTTTGTTTCACCGAGGGACGATGTCCCAGTCCTTAATAGAGACGGGCAGAGTCTTTAAAAGTCCCAGAATCAGCTGACGGGGCGGTTGGTGCCAGTCCAGCTTCAACCTCCAGGTCTGTGGGTGAGCTCTGATCTCCACCTGTCTGAGGCTGCCCTCACACTAAAGTCAAAGTGCTCCATATCTGACTTTATTTTTCTCCCCATCACTGAATGACCAGGACTGATTTTTACAGCCTATATGGGAAATTTGGCTAACTAATATGGATGGTGGGAGGGGCAGGCGACAGCCGATAACCAATATAATGGCTGAACATTTTAGAGCTTTGTCCGCCCCCAAGAAGGTAAGAAAACAGCAAGTGGAGCGGGGCTTGTTTATTTAGAGCAGCTGTTAGCAACCATGAAGCTAAGCTAATCAGATCCACCTATACGTAGTCCCACAGGAGGTTCACAAGTGGAGCACTGCTCATTAAAACATTCTTCCTAACGTGTGTTCACGTTTTCTATCCTCCACTATTCAACCATAAAGTTATCAAGCGTGTTACAAAAGTATAAATTAAACAAAGAAACGGCCTTCCCTGTTCTTTGTTTAAACAGTCACGCATGGTTGCGGTCTAATTAGTATTGACTGCAGCAGAGTTTGTTTATTTATTTTTACAGAGCAGTAAATATTTCAGACAAACAGTGTATTTAATTGAGGACGACAAAGATAATGTTACCAACACTGATATACTTTAACTCTAGGTTAGATTTATTGTTCTGGATAAAGTTTTACAAGGAAATAGCCTATGCTAGGTTATCTAAATGTTAGCTTGCTAACTTGAGAGGCACGTAGCTAATGACAAGCAGTTGGAGGATTGAAGAGAATTTATTGTTGATTTATTTTACACTTCAGTTAAAATAAACTCCCCATGCTCTGTTCAGCAAAATATGCCACACAGTGTTGCTCCCTGCTTGGTCTGTGCTGAAAGTGAACGGCCATGACTAAGTTGAGCGTGGTCTTCCTGCTCCCTCTGCTGGATACATTGTACAATTATGACTCGTTCCACCATTTTAGGGGTGAAAATTAGAATTTCTTGTATCTGTACATAATGGGATCATTATCACTGATACCAATAGGTCTCCAAACGTCTATATCGGCCTAAAATATCAGCCCTGCTGATATATTGGTCGGGCTCTACTAATTTTTATATGCTCATCGAAAGCAGGCATATTATGATGCATTTTCTGTCTGTATGTAAACTTTCTCTTGTGTAACTTCTGATTCACACAAGTTAATTTATTGAAACTTCATACACACATGTATTTAACCCTCGCTATTGATGTTTTTTACAGATGGAAATAACTGTGTGTGCTTGTGTGTGCGTGCAGATGACAGTGATGAAGACAGGGAAGTGAGTCGGAAGCGTACAGTGCGGCAGGCAGCATCCAAGGCAGTGTCCAAGCAGAGAGAAATCTTGTTGGGAGACGGAGGCAGCGAGGATGAGGAGCATGAAGATCAGGAGGAGACGTACTTGGACCGTACGTACACCACTGCTCTGTGACCAATGTTGTCTGGACAAACACACAAGAGTGCACTGAGGACCACTGTGAGCAACATCAGATGTGCACGCTGTGGCCACACACCAGTGTCACACCTGTTCAGAATCTGGCACTGGTAGGGGTGGTCTGGGGGTCCTCCCCCAGAAATTTTTGACTAAAGTAGATGTCATTTCCTGCATTCTGGTGTATTTTAATGGGTTGTTAAATATCTAGTTTTACCTACACAAGTAAACATGATACAGTAACTATTATAGAGGTAATGGCACAAGAAGAAGTAGCCTGACCAACAGTTCTCCTTGTGTGAATAGAGCACGCTCCACTTCTCTCTCATTCCAGCCACAGTCTAAGAAACACAGTGTCCTAAGTTAACTTTTAGGAAAAAAAATCACTAGCCAATATGAAACAATAATAATAATCACTTCTTCTTACCAATGGCCTAGTATAAGGCAATATGATCATCATCTATTGTGTTTATTAGTAGTTTAAAATACCTAATTAAAACTCCAGTAATGGGCTAGGTCTACTGTAACCTTACCCATCTTCCAGAGCAGGACCCTCACCAGTTGTAGGGTCAAGAGACAAACATATAGCATTAACACAGTATGGACGACATTCAGGAATTGTTTCTATAAGAACATTATCAAATATTTTACATGAATTGATCGCTTTGCCCACGAGAAAATGTAACCCAGGATGAGCTAACCTCGGACAAACTAAAAAACAACATGGCTGTAATGCCGGTAGGGCTGGGTATCTTTCTAAAAAATTTGTTTCCGGTACCTTCACTTCGGTGTCGGTTCCTGAACGGTATTTTTTTCTGTACCAGTTTTATAATTCATATTAATTCTAACAAGAAGAAAATTACACATTACAGTACATATCTTTTGTTTTATTTTTCCTTCCAATCAGTTTTCTTACATAAAAAATAAACAAGTAATTTCCATTGCAAAAGAACAGTTGCAAACAACCAGTGGCACGTCAGTGTCTAATGTTCACTGCTACACACTGAGGACCTTTAAACTGAACAGTTTATCTTCAGAAACATCAACATGTCTGCTTTCTCTGGACACAAACCAGCCCGCTCCTGGCTGATGGTGTCTCCAGCAGTAGAACATGTTCTCTCTGAGGGTGTGGATGATGCTTGTTGCACACACAGATACCTGGTTGCCAGTTTGATAGCATTGACTTATGCCCCTTTTGCACTGCCCCTAATAAGCTCCAATTCTGAGCAGCCCGCCACAGAAAGAACCCTTTTGCACCAGCACTTGAGTATTTTTAGCTGATTTGAGACTGATTCAGGACCTCTTTTCGTCCCTGCTTCTCTGGTGGGACCGAGCGAGCTCAGCCGAGCTGAGTCCGGACCAAATGTGAATGCAGGACTCTGATTGGTCAGGGGGAGGAGTCACTGGATCTCAGAAAGTTTTCACTCACTTTCATTTGCAATTTCTCTGGATGTGGAGCAGCGACTGGATCTATTTTTAAGATTTTTAAAACAATAATGACAACACTGTTTAATTCTAAAGTCCAGGTGTTTTTTGTGTTTGGTGATCGACGACAAAATTCGGGTTCCTCCTTTTTACCTGATGGCTGACTGGAGTCCTGTTTGGGTTTCTTCTCTGCTTTCATCAAGGCCCAGTTAGGATATCCACATTGCTCTAGAGCCTGTCTTGTGTGGGATTTCTCCTTCTGCCTGGCTCCTGAGTTAGTGGAGACGCTGTCTGCTCTGTGGTACAGAGTCCTGATGACTCCTAACTTGTGCTCCAAAGGGTGATGGGAGTCAAACTGCAAATACTGGTCTGTGTGGGTGGGTTTGTGGTACACCTCAGTTTGCAAATGTCCTCTATCAGAGACAGAGGTCCAAAGATCCAGTCCCCCGGCACAAACAGAGTAATATTGTGTATGCTGTTCAGTGTCAGGAGGGTGATCAGTCTTACATTGGGGAAACTAAACAGCCACTGGCCAAAAGGATGGACCAGCACAGAAGATCAACATCATCAGGCCAGGACTCTGAGGTCTACACTCATCTCCAGGCCAGCGGTCACTCTTTCAGGGATGAAGATGTTCACATCCTGGACAGAGAGGAACAATGGTTTGAGAGAGGAGTAAAGGAGGCCATCTTTGTGAAAAGAAACCGTCCATCATTAAACAGGGGTGGAGCCTCCATGTTCAACTGTCCCCCTCTTACAATGCTGTGATTGCTAGTATCAGTCAGCCCTCTGTGAACAGTAAACAGCCATCAGTGTGCTAATGATCCATTGTTAGGCTCATGGTCCTTCTTGAGCATGTGATCAGCTGGTTTTGGTTGTCAACAACAAACTGGTTGATCCACTCTGAGAAGGTGCTATTTAAGAGACTGAGCTGAAAACAGCACCTCAGACTGAGGAAGTCTCTTGGATGAGAGACGAAACGTTTCTATATTTTTTTTTTTTTTTTTTTTTAATTTATGTCCAGAGGACCAGATTGAACTTTTTTGGATTTTTCTACCTGGATTATTGAGCATGCATCAGGAATGTACTGGGATCTTGTGTTTGTTGAAGATCCTTCTGAATTTCTCTGATACTCCAGCAACATAAGGGATGACAATGTTTTTACGTCTGTTGTTCTCCTTTTTCTGTTTATTGGTGTGTTTTGTAGATTTCCTCGCTGACTTGACAAAAGCCCAGTTAGGATATCCACATGTTTGAAGAGCATCTTGGATGTGTTTCTGTTCCTTTTCCTTCCCTTCTGTCTTCGTGGAGATGCGTTCGGCCCGATGTTGTAAAGTTCTGATGACAGAGAGTTTGTGTTCCAGTGGATGGTGGGAGTCAAACAGAAGATACTGGTCTGTGTGGGTTGGTTTTCTGTAAACTTCAATGTTGAGGCTGTCCTCTCTTTCCATCTGAACCAAACAGTCCCAAAAAGGCAGTTTGTTGTTGTTTGCATCCTCTCTGGTGAACTTGATGTTGTTATCCACCGAGTTAATGTGTCTGGTGAACGCTTCTATTTCCATGGCTTGGATTTTGACCCAGGTGTCATCCACATATCTGAACCAATGGCTTGGCGTTGTTCTCTCATTGGAGTTTAAGGCTTTCTGTTCCATCCAACATTTTGCAGTCAGGTCACCTGGACTGGATTATTGAGCATGTACTTTGTTGTCATCTGGACAGTTTATTTTTTTTGTGTGTGTGTGTGCTGAAACGTTTCGCCTTCGGTCCGGAAGGCTTCATCAGTCAAGGAAACGCACAACAAAACTGATTCTTCCCCCAACAGCTTACTCCAAAGTGGAACAAACCAGTTCTGCTTGTGATAAGATGGTCTAGTTGGATTGGATTATATACATGGATTATTCAGCATGGACTTAGTTGCTCTCTGTTCCACTTGCTCCATGTAGAGATTGGCAACAATGGGTGACACTGGTGATCCCATGGCACAGCCGTGCTTCTGTCTGTAAACATTGAACTTGAAATAAGTGGTGGAGAGGCAGAGATCCAACAGAGTGCAGATCTGGTCTGGGGTGAAGTTGGTCCTGTTGATTAAGTCATTGTCTTGTAGAAGTCTTTTTCTGACGGTTTTTACTGCTTCAGAAATGGGTATACAAGTGAAAAGAGAAGTCACATCGTACGATACAAGGGTTTCTCCTGGGGTGAACAGGAGAACTTTCAAAAACGTATAGTGCAACTTTAAGACAGATTCCCAGCCAGTTTTCAGACCTGATGGGAACAGGGGCCTCATCTGTGAATTAGATTAACAACCATACCATTTTATTTATAGAGCACTTAAAACAGTGACGAGGACAACCAAAGTGCTGTACAGACAGAACAACAGACAACAAGTCCATCCATCCATCCATTTTCTTCCGCTTATCCGGGGTTGGGTCGCGGGGGTAGCAGCCTAAGTAGGGAGGCCCAGACTTCCCTCTCCCCAGCCACTTGGGCCAGCTCTTCCGGGGGAATCCCGAGGCGTTCCCAGGCCAGCCGACAAACATAGTCCCTCCAGCGTGTCCTGGGTCTTCCTCTGAGCCTCCTCCCAGTGGGACGTGTCCGGAACACCTCACCAGGGAGGCGTCCAGGAGGCATCTTAAACAGATGCCCAAGCCACCTCAACTGGCTCCTCTTGACGTGGAGAAGCAGCAGCTCTACTCTGAGTCCCTCCCGGATGATCGAGCTTCTCACCCTGTCTCTAAGGGAGAGCCCAGACACCCTGCGGAGAAAACTCATTTCGGCCGCTTGTATCCGAGATCTCATTCTTTCGGTCACAACCCAAAGCTCGTGACCATAGATGAGGGTAGGACCTCCTCCCTGACCCGGAGAGGGCACTCTACCCTTTTCCGGCTCAAGACCATGGCCTCGGATTTGGAGGAACTGATCTTCATCCCGGCCGCGTCACATTCGGCTGCGAACCGCTCCAGCGAAAGCTGTAGATCACGATCTGATGAAGCCAATAAGACCACATCATCTGCAAAAAGCAGAGACGCAATCCTAAGGCCACCAAAACTAAACTAAAAAAATTTAGCACATTTAAAACAGTAACTGTTATCAAAGTGCTTACCAAAAAAGATCACAGCATCAAATATTAATAACAAGATATTACAGCAACATGAATAAAAGCATAAAAACATTAAATATAATGAGAAACAATGAAATACTAAATCAAATCACCCTGCGTTAAATGTCAGGGAGTAAAAGCAAAATGGATGAACACAATCGTCAACAATGAAATACCAAATGAGATCACCCTGTGTTAAATGCCAATGAGTACAGATGTGTCAATGAGTACAGGTGTGTCAGTGAGTACAGATGTGTTTTGAGGAAAAATCTTAAAGTAGAGACTGAGGTGGCCTGTCGAATGTTGATGGGCAGATTGTTCCAGAGTTTAGGCCCATGACTGAAAATGCTCGATCTCCTCTGAGCTTCAGCTGATTTTTGGTACGGCCAAAAGCAGCTGGTCTGATGATCTCAAAGCCCGAGAAGGAGCATAAGGATGAAGGAGGTCAGAGAGGTATGAGGGTGCAAGGCCATTAACACACTTAAATGTCAGCAGAAGAATCTTAAAATCAACTCTGACACGCACAGGAAGCCAGTGAAGAGAGGACAGAACCAGAGTAATGTGCTCGAACCTGTGAGTTCCTGTTAGTAGCTGAGCTGCAGCATTTTGTACGAGCTGGAGACGTGAGAGAGAGACCTGACTGACCCCAGCATAAAGCGAGTTACAGTAGTCCAGCCAGGTTGTAATAAATGTATGGACTAATTTTTCAAGGTCGGATCCGGACAGGACAGACTTGAGCTTAGCTATCTGCCTTAGCTGAAAGAAGCTTTTTTGAAGAACAGAATTGATCTGCTTATCAAACTTAAAGTCTGAGTCTAAAACTATCCCGAGATTGGTAACGGACTGTTTTAGATATGGCTGAAGGGAGTCCAGGTTTGCAGGATCAGTGACAGTGGCAGAGCTAGGGACACCTTGACCTCAGTCTTCTGATCATTAAAACTCAAAAAGTTCGCAGCCATCCAAGTCTTGATGTCATCAAGACATTTTAACAAAGGGCAAATGGAGGAGGAACTGTTAGGTGTTAACGGCAGATAAATCTGAGAGTCATCAGCATAACAATGAAAGGAAAGACCATGTTTCCTCAGAATAGACCCTAAGGGGAGGAGATACAAAGAAAACAGAAGGGGTCCAAGAATGGAGCCTTGCGGGACCCCGCAGGAAAGAGGCACTGAAGTAGATAGAGTGTTAGCAAAATTAACACAGAAACTCCTGTCGCTCAGGTATGAATGGAACCATTCTAACGCTGCACCAATAATCTCAGTCTTAACTTCTGCTTAATCAATGCACCTTGACGGTCAAATCAGCTGCATTTTGCCGGGGCGGCACAGCGAAATGAAGCTGATTCGGTTGCTCCAGGCAGACGACAGTGGCAGCTGTGGCAAGCCGATTGGTTCATTAATAGACACTTTTACCTATATTACATGATAAAACGGCATGCCCTACTACTCTGCCTTTAGCTAGTGACTGAAAATGGTAGTGTTAGGTTTTTTTTCAGTCAGAATGAATGAAAATGGTCATAGCAAAAAAATTGGTTTATAAATATGGGGAAAAGTCCATAAATACATTGCTTCGGCCTATAAGTCGCAGGGCATGCAAATTATGCAAAAAAACCACAACTTATACAGCTTAAAATATGCTACTTACCGCCTTTGTTTGACGTACAACCGCAAACTTCTGTGATAAATCCACATCGCCAAATATTATTCCTCTCTATGCGATGAAATATGTCATAACACAGCTTAGAAAATTGCAAGAAGCCAAGGTTGTTTTGTAGCTACTTAGCTTTTTCACACGTCGGCGCCGAAACTCCAGAGGATTCTGATTGACTGGAATGAAAGTTCGCCTGTGATATCATTGGTTTAATTTTTTTACCTCTTCATAAACTTCCTTGTCACCACACAAATCACTTGACACAGGTTTTTTTTTTTGGGCGGGGTCCTTCCTCTAATCTGAATGTATTTTTCATGCTGCATACAGACAGATTGTAGAGACCGCTGCTCTCAGGCTGACAGTTTTTAATAAAGCGGCAGATAACCAGATATTTTGCTAAGTTAATCCGCCGGCTGTGTGGCCAGTTCACAACTGCGCAGCAAAGACTTTCTTGTGCGCAGAGAATTTGCAAGCAGCGCACGATTGCGCTGTCGTGCAGATTAGAGGAAACATTGTGACATACGTGAACTACGAGCACGTGCTGGACATATTTGGGTTGGGTCGGTGATTTGATTTTTGTCTCCATTTTCCTGCGCAGCTGATGAGTCCGGCAGTGACGAGGACTTCATGGTGGAGGATGACAATGACAGCGACTACGGTCAGTCGAAAAAGAAAGGCAAGAAGGTGATCCGACGGGGCCGGACAGACAAGAAAGAGAAGAAGAGCCCCAAACCCAGGCTAAAGGCTACAGGTATTCTAAACCTTTCAGCTC